GCTTCAATGTGATTTCTTAGTGTTGTGCATGAACTAGCTAAGTGTTTGAACAGCAATATTCAATCTTGTCAAGGTCAAATACAGAAGCTTTCCCACTAGCTTCTGATATCTTTCCCTATCAGTCAATGGATCATCACCTTGATCAACAAATTCCTTTGTTGTAAATTTCTGATTGCAATCCAAAGGGGTCCAACTTGGTTTTGCAGCACTCAAACCCAAGTCATATATCAATTCCAAACTACACTTCCTCTGATTCATTAGTATCCCTTTGTGTGATCTGCAAAATTCAATGCCTAGAAAGTATTTCAACTCTCCGAGGTCTTTGATTTTGAAAGATTGATGCGGTCTCTCTTTGGTTTCCTCCATTAACTTCAAATCATTTCCAGTTATGAGCATATCATCTACATATATAAGTATGATCACTATGCTGGTTCCTTCCCTTCTTGTGAGCAATGAATAGTCAAAATGGCTCTGCACAAAGCCCTGAAGAACCAGTGCTTCAGTTAGTTTAACATTCCATTGTCTGCTTACCTGCTTGAGCCCATATAGGGATTTGACAAGTCTGCAGACCTTGCCATCAATGTTCTCTCCCTAGCTTTCAAATCCCTCAGGCAACTGCATATACACTTCATCATGTAAGTCACTCTGAAGGAAGGCATTGTATACATCCATCTGATGAATGTGCCAACCTTCAGATGCTGCAATAGAGATCACAGCTCTCACAGTCACAATCTATACAAAAAGAGAAAATGTCTCATTGTAGTCAAGCCCTTCCTTTTGATTGTATCCCTTTGCCACTAGTTGTGCCTTAAACCTCTCAACATCTCTATTAGCTTTGTACTTCACCTTGTAAACCATTTGCATTCTATAGGAGTTTTTCCATGTGGTAGAGTCATTAACTCCCAAGTCTTATTGTCCTCTAGAGCTTGGATTTCAGCTTTCATTTCCTCTATCAATCTCTTGTCTGAAGATGCCTCAAGGAATATCTGTGGTTCTATTATTGCTGAAAATACTTTCAAATAGTCCTGTAAGCTGGCTTTAGTCTTTCATAACTCAAGTATTTGCAGATGGAGTATGGCTTTGGAGACTTATCTAGAGCTGCTGTAGTGACATAATTTGCCATCCATATTGGTGTCTCCTTGTCTCTTTTGGACTTCCTGGTAGCTTGATCAGCTTTGTGTGATCTCACTCATATCTTTAGCATGTTCCTGCTCCAAGTTGTCTGCACTTATTTGCTCAGGTTCTATAGCATCCAAGTGTCATGCATCTGCTTTTTCCAAAGAATGCCAATGGCATGTATCTACCTCTTCCAAAGGAATTCCCTCTGAAGAGTCTCCTTCTTGTGCAACTACAGGATTGACTGTATTTGTATTGATGTATGTTGCTGGTTGCATCTCCATTGGTACTCCAGTTGGTATGATTTAGTCTGAAACCTCCTCATTCAAAAACAAGTGACCAATTTGCTGCCTTGTATGCCTGAAAGGGAAGATTGCTTCATTGAAGGTGACATCCTTGTTAACGAAGAAGCACTGTTTGGTTAGATCATACAATATATAGCCTTTTGTGACCTCTAAATAACCCATTAATGCTGCTGCAACTGCTCTACTACCAAACTTGTCACTGATGTGCATCTTCTTCGCATAGCACAAACATCTCATAGTTCTAATGTGCTCTATACTAGCTTTTCTACCATGAAAAACTTCAAATGGACTCTTCCTTGTCAAGACTCTGGAGGGCAACCTGTTCATTACATATATTGCAGCTAACACACAATGCCCCCAGAACTTGAGTGGAATACTTCCTTGGAACCTCACAGCCCTTGCAATTTCTAATATGTGTCTGTGCTTCCTCTCAGCTATCCCATTTTGCTGAGGAGTGTAGGCACATGTTCTTTGATGAAGAATTCCATAATCCTGAAACGGCATATTACATCAGTATTTACAAACTCTGTTCCATTGTCAGTTCTAATGATTTTTACATTTCTGTTAAACTGTGTTTGAACAAGTTTAAGGAAATTTCTCAGTACTATTATCGCATCAGTTATAAGTTTCAGTAGATATACCCAAGTCATACTTGAATGATCATCTACAGTTGTCAGAAACATTTTATTTCCTTCAAAGGTTTGCACAGCATATGGTTCCCATACATCAATGTGTAACAACTGAAAAATCTCATTGACTTTACTAGTACTATCATTAAAAGGCAATCTAGTGTGTTTTGCCAGTGAGCAGACAATTCAATCTCCTAACCTCCTTTTACACTCATCATATGCCAAAGTAAAAAAATGCCTTATTGCTCTTATAGAAGCATATCCTAATCTCCTATGCCACAGCTCAATGTCCTGACTTTTATTCCTTCCAACTAGTCCCAACAATACAATCCCCTTCCTTTCAACAGAAGTTGAGGAAGCAAGTAGAGTCCTCTCCTTTCTCTACCAATCTCTTCACCTTCCCACTACAAAGGTCATGGTAGATGCAAAAATCAGGGTAGAACCCAACACAACAGCTTAGGGCTCTGGTGATCTTAGATACTGATAAGAGATTATATCTGAAATTAGGTGTGTATAGAACATTATCAAGTCTTTTTGTGTTCATCACATTATAGGACCCTATGTGTGTTACATATGAGACTCCTCCATTAGGTAAATGTACCCTTTTTGAATCATTTTGACTAAATTCTAGCCTATTCTTCAGTAGTTCTAGGTTTGAGATCATATGATTTGTTGCTCCAGTGTCTATGATCCATTCATCACTATATTCATTTGCAAAGAAAGCTTTAATACTACTCGCTATATTTGCTGAGCTACCTGCCATGTTTGCTTAGCTTTCAGGTATGTTTTCTTTGTTGAGAACCTTTATTATCTGATTATATTGTTCTGCAGTAAAATGTGGAGGCTGTGGAGTGAATGTAGGTCCCTTAAATGCATTTGTTGCTCTTAATCCATCTGAAGGTTGATTCCTTCCTCCCCCTGCATCAGGAGGTCTGGTATCTCCCAAAATCATATTGTGTGCAGAATTGCCTCCAAATTTCTTTTTGAACTTGAAATCCTCTGGATAGCCAATCAACTTATAGCATCCACCTCTAGTATGGCCCTTCATGTTGTAGTAGTCACATTGGACATTGTAATTCCTTTTAATTTTCTGAGCATAGGATCCCTTTTGTGCTTAGTAGAGCTGTCATTCAGCTTTGTCCCCACCAATTGTCATATTTGCTATGCTTCTCTGGCTCTCTCTTTCAACCAACATAGAGTAAGCTTTGTTCACTGTTGGAAGTAGCTCCATCATCATGATATGTTCACGAGCCTGCTCATATGTCTTGTTTAGCCCCATGAAAAACTGCAACAACTTCTGCCTCCGCACGAAAGTCACATAATCTCTTGACTTTGGGCAATCACATCCAGGAACTGGTGTTTAAATGTCATATTCAGCCCAAAGTTCATGCAATTTGGAGTAGTAACTGGCAATAGAATTAGTTCCTTGATTCACTGTGGCTATTGCTTTATGCAGTTGAAATATTCTAGATCCATTCACTTTGTCGAATATCTCCTTTAAATCTCTCCAAACAGCACATGCATCTGAAGAATATACAATTCCACTCAATAAGTCCTTCGAGACACACTTCATTATCCACGATATAGATCTGTCATATTTGGACCATAACTTTCCTTTTTACAGGTGCCTTCAGTGAATCCCATCTTATTGCGTCCTAGGATCGCAATACGCATTGCTCGGCTCCATATGGTTAGTTTTTAGATCCTATTCAATTGCAGAGAGATCAGTATCGCTTCTGAATTATATGTGGAATGCAGAAATAGATGATGGTTATGGCTCAAATTCTCAAGCAAATTGTTGTATATTGTTGCCGCCATTATCAAACTCAGAAATCTTCAAGTTGTGCCCTAGAAATCAAATCGATTCAGAAGAAACTGTCTCCTAAATTGAAGTTGAAAGCTGATGAAATTAGCTAATTACGAACTTTTAAGACCATAACAATGGCCTCATTGCTTTGATACCATGTCGAATTTAGGAGGTGACAGCCCTGGAAGCTGAGCTTCTTAGAGGAAGAAGGAAATGCAGTAATCGACTTTACTGTTGTATTGAAAAGCTGTAAATGAAATCTGTACATAGCCCCTTATATATAATGCTCGCTAACTATCCTAACTAATGACAACTAATTACAGTTGTACTACCTACTTAACAAATAACAATAATCTGTTATCTCCTAACTAACTAACCACCACATGTGCTCCTTGCGTGCTAGATTATTCCTTTCTCAACATCAATTCTATGTGCATTTGCCCCGCTTCATCCATTTAATTTTTTTCTTTTTTTCTTTTGTCATTTAGTTTTGAATTTTGATAATCAATTTAATGCTTTCACTTGAATTATATATAAGAATATAAAACCAATCCAAAAGTGTTTTACTTTTAAATATGTCTAGTCATCGATTTTGTGGCTTTCCTTTTTAATTTTCAGGGAAGTTGAATTGAAGTACCAGTTAATTGTTTGAGATGTTTATTTAGCATAACATGTGTAGGGGGGAAGATGATTATATGCCAGGAGACATAATTGAGACTAAAATTCATAACTTCATGATATTACGCAAGTTAACATGCAAACTTGGCCCCCAATTAATACTTGTATCTGAAAAGTGAGTTCTCTAGCCCATGATTAAACCGATAATTGAACCATTAAATTCATAACGAATTAATAATATTCGTAGCAGTTTCTAACATTGATGTAAAAACCTCAGTATTTCATTTCATACATTTGCTATGCTTCTACATGTGAAAAATTGAGCAGGGCTTAACCCCGCAAATTAATCCATTTGCGTGTCTGTGTAACACGCGCAACTCCAAAGATGATTTCAATAAAAATTTCCAACTGTACCTATGAATAATATTATACGACATAGATGTTGAAAGATTAAACATATATTGAAATCTACGGAGTATTATTTTTCTAGATAACGGGAATCAATTAACATGAAATTCTCCTCAAATAAAAAAGCATGTAAGCTAGATTTCTCTAAACCTGATTTTTTAAAATCCTTTTACTATACATAGAGGAAGGTGAGGCAATTATAAGGTGAAGAATTAAATTTTCATCAACAAGATCAAAGTTTAGATAGTCAACCAATTGAATTACTAAAATTTTCATTTCCTAATTAAGCTGATCGAAAAGTCAATAAGATCGCTGTATACCTATAGGAGCTTCTATTTACTGGCATGAACTTTAGGATTTGAATGCCCAGATAATTGTAGTTCTAAATCTCAATTTGCTCCTTGCTGCTTCAATTTATCTGTGTTTATCTCATGACTTTCTGTCTCCGACTTCGATTTCTCCTTATCCTTTCCCCATAGGACACCATAGAATCCCACTACTGTCAAGAACGATCCTACAACTCTAAAATTCACAAACAATAAATGTAAGTTAAAATTTAAAAAAAAAAAAAAACAACAACAACAACAATTTGGAATGGTTAAATGAAGACTTACGTTCCAAGATATAGTTTCTCACGAAGCAAAGTCCAACTAAGAACGACCGTTATGATTAACATTAAAGGGTAGAAAACTGAGACATAGAGAGGACCTTTTCTTTGTATACACCATGAAGTTAGACAATATCCTAACGCAGTACATACAATTCCCTGAAATTCACTACAATTAGATAAAGAATAATAATACAAAAACAATAATTTAAATTTAATTTGTTAATATTACATTGTAAAGAACGGCAATAGTTCTCATACGGTCTAGAGACCAAGCAGCTTTGTCATGCACCACAAAAAACCCAATTATCACACATTGAAAACTTGCCATTAAGCACATTAGCATTGTACTTGTGTATGGAGCTGCATACTTCTCGCTCACTCTTGCCTGATAAATATAAAAAATTAATAAAATAATGATACAAAATTATTTCTAAGTAAGAAAAAATATATGAAAAAAGAGATAATAATGTGCTTTATTTTGTGACAGAAAAGAAAGAGAATTACTTGAAAAATAATCCACAATGAATAAGAAATAGTGCTAACAATAAGCAATAAAGGTCCCAAGATTAAGTTGACATGGCCAGTAGAATTCTTTTTCTCAGTATTTTCAGCAAATTTCCAATGGATGCCAGATTGACCAATTATAATAGGTCCATGATACAAAGACAATAACATGGCACCACCAACACATATTATTGTACCATACACTTTGGCTTGCCCTGCCTTACTTCTAAACCCCACTTTCTCCAACCTGCCAAATTAAAATTTACTTTTCTAGTAAGTTTCTGGGATTAATAATATGTTTAATATATATACACTCATATTAATTTGAAGAAAAGTAGAAATTAAAATTTATTACCCAAAAGGGATAGCCAGGAGAAAAGTGGCTGCTGGAATTAAGTTTGATAATGCACAGGCGATAGTAGGAGTGGAATTCTTTAACCCAACGAAGTATGCTATTTGACTCACGGTTAACCTGCATATTGGATAAATACCAGAAAGTGTGATGTTAAAAGGAAATACACAATATCTCGAAATATCATTTAAATTTGTCAAAAATATTTATGTATTTATTACTCAAAACTTTAAAATAAAATGAAACTGAGGGAGTAGTTACGACATATGGATGATGTGCTTGAAATAGAGAAAACTTACCCGTAAAAAGAACATAAGAAAATCCAGAAAAGAATAGATGATGTCAACTGCGGCTTAGTTTTCCTGGATTGAATTAAGCAAAGCTGATTAAGTTAACCCGGGATAAAACATCAAAATGACAATCCAGGATTAATATAACATATCAAACAGTCAATAAAAAATAATACTCGGATAACTAATTCCAACATAATTAATTCAATCATAACTTATCTTCAAACCAAACAGTCCCTTAATTCCAATGGGAGTAATTAATTCTGAGATAACTTGTTTCCAACCAAACGACGTAACGAAAGAATCTATGACTTCTTAAAGTAGTAAAGGATATGGGATTTGGGAAGGGAAAAAAAGTAATTAATGTCTTCTTGGAATTTCAAAAGTGATAAATATTTTGAACCAATTTCTTTTGTCTAATATGTAATAAAGGGACAGATAAAAAGAACCAGAGGAGTATTCGATAATATTCAGCGTTATCCCCATTCGTACAATTTTGTGATTGAATGAGGAGGTAATTACCACTCGAAGAAATAAGCAAAGGGAGCAAGGGAAATTGTTCCAATTATTTGGCGATAAGCAATATGGACAAAAGGGTCCATTCCAGCATCCATGACAAGTGTTCCAACAATGTTCATTCCTGCATAGCCAACTTGCACCATCACCATTATCAAAAAAGGCAAAACTTCGTTACCCATTTTTTGTTATCTTAATTATATAAGACGATATATAATTTGAGTGGTTTTAATTTAAATCTAATTCTGGATGGTGACTACTAAGATGTGACGGAAAAAATATACAAAAAGGGTAAGCATTTTATAGATGTAAAAGACGACAAAAATTAAAGAGTAAATTCTACGGATGATGATCACAAGAAAAAGAAAGGGGCCACATATCAGGAGCTGGCAAAAACAATTAAGTTCCAATTCACAGCAGACGGCATATCAATTAATGTATACACTACAGGTTAGAGCATTGTGCATGATCTCCTTTTCGATACAGTTTGAGGAAGATTTTATAATTTCTCGTGTAGCCGCAAGATATATAAAGTGATACAAAACAAACATTAGAAACCAACCTGCACCATGCCAGAAGAAACGAATTATCTGTTGTTTTTTTTATTAGCAAAGGAAAAAGATACGGCTGATTCCACTTCTAAAATTGGTAATTGCGAGCTTCTTTCAGTTTGGCGATTCCATTTGCCGTTGGTACAAATTATATCAACAACAACAACATACCCAGTAAAATTCAACTAGTGGGATCTGAGTAGGGCAGAGTGTACGCAGACCTTATCCCTATCCCAGAAGGATAGAGAGACTGTTTCCGGAAGACCCTCAGCTCAACAAAAGAGACAATAATCTATCTATAATTAAAAGCAGAAGAAAAAAGCCTCTCATAAAGCCAAGTGGCATAATCCTAATATGACACTTGGCACTTTAAGACATTGCTCCAAATTATTAGGAAGTAGAATTAGGAACTACAATTTTATTTGGATTAGAATTGTAGTTCAAAACCGTTCAAAATTAAATTATTAGTAATTAAAAATAAGTTAGGAACTACAATTTTATTTGGATTAGGATTGTAGTTCAAAACCGTTCAAAATTCCCTTCAATTTTCTGAATTTTTAATTTTTTTTAATTATTAAATGATTTTATATGTGAAAACCCTTTACTCCACAATATTAGGTAAAAACTTTTTACCTTCAACTTACCCTAAATTCTCTCTGCAAAATCACGATACCCTCAACTGTCTAACCCACGATCACTACTAGAATTCCTGTAAAAAGCGACCAAAGATTAGCGACCAAATTTGGTTTGTCAAGAAAAGCGACCAAAGTTGGTCGCCAAACTGCCGAAAATAATAAAAAAAAATATTTGAAATACTTAGCGACCGAAGTTGGGTCGCTATTTGGCCGCAAATTTAGTCAAACTTGTTGACTGGACTGGTCAGACTTGCTTGGTCAAAGATATACTGAGATTAGCGACCAATGTTGGTCGCTAAAGTGGGACCCACATAAAATTTTTTAATAATTTTATTATTATTTTATAAAACTATAAAATATAAATATATATATAATTTAAAACTTGCGACCAAAGTTGGTCGCTAACTGAAGGATAAGTTGATAGCGACCAACATTGGTCGCTAGTATGGGACCCAGTTATAATAAATATATATTTATTTAAAAAAAATTATAAAATATAAATAAATATAATTCAAAAGTAGCGACCAAAGTTGTCGCTTAATGAAATAGAGACCAACGTTGGTCGCCAAGGTGGGACCCAGTTCTAACATTTAATAATTTTATTATTAATTTAAATATTATATATAAATATAAATAAATCTGATAAAATTTTATGACCAAATTTGGTCGCTAAATTAAATTCATTACATTAGTGACCAATTTGGTCGCTAAATTAAATTCATTTACAGTTAGCGACCAAAGTTGGTCTCTATATGGTCAAAAATAAAAATCACTTTTGTATTTACTATGTAAATAATATAAAATGTAAGTCATTAATACTTTTGTAATACAAGGATGAATAGTACTATGAACGGGCGTGTGTGTGTAGATATAATATATATATATATATCTATAATATATATAATATATATATATATAATATATATATACTTACGCTATATTATGCACTAAGTATAAGTGTATTAGGTAATACTATATTGAATATAGCTTATATAATATATATATATATAATATATGTACTTACGCTATACTATGCACTAAGTATAAGTGTATTAGGTAATACTATATCTTATATATATATTATATATATATATATATATATATATATAATATATATATATATTATACACTTACGCTATTACTAGCACTAAGCATAAGTGTATTAGGTAATACTTATATTGAATATAGCTTTATAATATATAATATATATATTACTTACGCTATACTATGCACTAAGTATAAGTGTATTAGGTAATATTATATCGAATATAGCTTTTATATATATATATATATATATATATATATATATATAAAATATACTTACGCTATACTATGCACTAAGTATAAGTGTATTAGGTAATACTATATCTTATATAGCTTATATATATATATAATATATACTTACGCTATACTATGCACTAAGTATAAGTGTATTAGGTAATACTATAAGAATATAGCTTATATATATATATATACTTACGCTATAATATGCACTGAGTATAAGTGTATTAGGTAATACTATATCGAATATAGCTTATGTATATATAATATATACTTACGCTATACTATGCACTAAGTATAAGTGTATTAGGTAATACTATATTGAATATAGCTTATATATATAATATATATATATATACTTATGCTATATTATGCACTAAGTATAAGTGTATTAGGTAAATATTCTTTTATATATATATTTATATTATATATATATATATATATATATATATATATATATATATATATATATATAATATATAATATATACTTACGCTATACTATGCACTAAGTATAAGTGTATTAGGTAATACTATATTGAATATAGCTTATATATATATAATATATATACTTACACTATACTATGCACTAAGTATAAGTGTATTAGCTAATACTGTATCGAATATAGCTTATATATATATATAATATATACTTACGCTATACTATGCACTAAGTATAAGTGTATTAGGTAATATTATATCGAATATAGCTTTTATATATATATATATATATATATATATATATATATATATATATATATAATATACTTACGCTATATTATGCACTGAGTATAAGTGTATTAGGTAATACTATATATAATATAGCTTATATATATATAATATATATACTTACGCTATACTATGCACTAAGTATAAGTGTATTAGGTAATACTATAAGAATATAGTTTTTATATATATATATATATATATATAATATATATATATACTTACGCTATAATATGCACTGAGTATAAGTGTATTAGGTAATACTATATCGAATATAGCTTATGTATATAATATATATATATACTTACACTATACTATGCACTAAGTATAAGTGTATTAGCTAATACTGTATCGAATATAGCTTATTATATATATATATATATATATATATATATATATATATATAATATACACTTACGCTATACTATGCACTAAGTATAAGTGTATTAGGTAATACTATATTGAATATAGCTTATATATATATAATATATATATATACTTACGCTATATTATGCACTAAGTATAAGTGTATTAGGTAATACTATATCTTATATATATATATATATATATAATATATATATATATATATACTTACTCTATACTATGCACTAAGTATAAGTGTATTAGGTAATATTATATCGAATATAGCTTATATATATATATAATATATATATATATATACTTACGCTATATTATGCACTGAGTATAAGTGTATTAGGTAATACTATATAGCTTATATATATATATATATATATATATATAAATATATATACTACATATGTACATATTTTTAAATTGAATTAAGAGTAATATAATTTTTTGTTAAGTAGCGACCAACCTTCCTATCTATTTTGGTCAAACGGTCAAAAAATAGCGACCAACTTTGGTCNGTCAAACGGTCAAAAATAGCGACCAGCTTTGGTCGCTATTTCTAAAAATTCAAAACTGATTTAGCTACCAAAATAGCGACTAACGTGGGTCGCTATTTTTAATTCCAGTACTGTCAAAACCGGGAAACCCCTCCCATTCTTTCTAAAAATTTTCCCAAAATCTCTCTTTTCTCTCTCACACTCAACCACCCCCCCTTCCGACTCCCAGCACCAGATCCCACCCACGCCACTAACGACCACCAACGACCACCGCCTAGCTGCCGTCGCGCCGTCGCCGCTGCCGCTGCTGCGTCTCTCTCCTTCTCCACCTCCTAAAACTTCTAGGTTAGAATTACAATTTATATCTTTTGTGTATAAATATAATGTTTTGTTTATTAGCTAGGAATTAGTTTCAATTGATTATTTAACATTGTATTTTATAGAAATCTAAGGTTTAGGTTGTATTTAACATTATTTAACATTTTATAGAAATCTAGGGTTTATAGAAATGTTAACATTTTATTTAACATTGTATTTAACATTATTAACATTTTATAGAAATCTAGGGTTTAGGGTATGGGTTGAATTTTTAGGATATAATCATAACTTTTAGTTTATGTTTAAACTCGTAGGATATAAATTGAACTTTTAGTTTATCTTTAAACTCGTAGGTTTTGTTCTTGTGAATTGAACTTGTAGGATATGAATTGAACATTTAGGATATGACTTGAACTTTTGTGGATATGAATTGAACCTTTAGGATATGAATTGAACTTTTAGTTTATGTTTAAACTCGTAGGATAAGAATTGAACTTTTAGTTTATGTTTAAACTCGTAGGATAAGAATTGAACTTTTAGTTTTTAGGTTTTGTTCTTGTGAATTGAACTTGTAGGATATAAATTGAACCTTTTAGGATATGAGTTGAACCTTTAGGATATGACTTGAAATTTTGGTTTATGTTTAAACTCGTAGGATATGAATTGAACCTTTAGGATATGACTTGAACTTTTGTGGATATGAATTGAACCTTTAGGATATGAATTGAAATTTTGGTTTATGTTTTGGAATTTTAGATTGCGGGAGGATTTTGTAGAAGAGGTTGATGACGTTATTAGATATG